GTACACGCAACCCTTTGGAGGAACAGCACCCTCGACCAACTCGATGGTGTGTCGAACCGGTCGCGTGGGGACTCCACGTGGCTCGGCCAAGACTTCTGGAAACCGATCGAGGAGGACTTGGATGTCTGATGGGACAGGTGGGGGTGGGGAATCAGCAAAGGGATCACCAAAGTCCAGTCGCAAGTCGCGTATAGAGGCGACCGAATCTGAAGTTGGTTCATTTGGACTATCGGAGGGTAGAGAGGTAGAGGTGCTAGTAGTAGAAGTGCTAGAAGTAGGATCATTACTCAAGGTAGTGGTGGTATAGCCGCAAAAGTAGAAGGCACATGAGCTCGTTCCCCTGAGCATCTTCGACCATGAAGAGTGATTCCTTCCACTTGGTCCATTCGCATTGGGACTACAGCCAACCCAAGCCAAGGACAACGTTGAAGGGGCACTTGTCAAGGACAAAGAAGTTCAATGCATGGGTGACAGTCTTACCTCTGTCAAAGGTAGTGCGCACACCTTTGACTGCATATGTAGAAGAGACAACTTCTTTGTTGCCAACTTGGGTCCGGCAAGGGTTCTGCAGGGCCACTTGCTTCATCCCCAAGCCCACCTTGCGTATCCCATGTGGTGACATGAAGTTAGCTGTAGCACCACAATCAACTAACACACAGAGATAGCGGTGGTTTATGAGAAGTTTGAAGAAGATTAACTTCACTGCCCCTTGGGCACGCTGCTGTTTCATTTCAACCCAATGCTCCAAGTGGTAATGGAAGTCAATCATCTCAGACTCCTCCCAAGGCTCGTCATACAACACCTTACTCACCTCAGCCTTGTCTTCAGCAGATGGTTGGGCTTTAAGGGAGGGCTGCTGATTTTCATCAAATCCTGACTCCCTTGTTGTAGAGTTTGCTGAATCTGACTCTATGCCCGGTTCTGGTTTCCCTGCAACCTATAACAGTCTTGGACCTTGTGATTTGGCTTTTGGCAATGCAGGCAACCCCCCTTCTTGAGTCTGCCCCGCCAGTCATTCTCAGTGATCCGGAGGTCAACCCAAGGTTTGGTTGTTGCATCCTCCGGTTTAGGCGGGATCTTAACTCCTTTGGGGAGTTGGACATAATTTTTCACGACACTCCGATTCGGTCCCTTAGTACTGGCAGCCTTTTTAAAGGCAGAAAATTTTTCTTCTTCTTTATTTGCATCGGACTCATGGGATGAAGAACAAGCTGTATCGGAGTCCTGTTCTTGGTCGTCACCAAGAGTGGGGTCACCCGCATCGGCTTCTTCTTCGGCCTCCAGCAGGTCATGCACAACAAAACGGTTGCTGCCCTTGAACCGTCTGCCGCCCATGGGCTTTTTGCTGCCTGCCGTGCTAACGAGGTCCATGGCCTCCAGACTGACTACATCCTTCATTAAGGCAAACCAGTCAGTATAAGCAATGTAGTCCCTGCCCAGGCGACTAGTGAAGTTAGTTGGAACCGCGC